ATCTGGCTGGAAGTTTCCCATTTTCCTGATGAGGGAACAGTGAGATGAAGGTAACAAAGATCAGGTGTGCGTGGGGGGTCTCCGTGAGACACCCTGAGGTTCAAGCTCAGGGTTGTCCCCTCCTGCCTTGTGGACACCCTGTAGTCCTTCTGCTTTTCTGCGGGCTCCCTCTCTTTCTCTTTTGTTGGCTCTCGACCCTTCTCTACCAAATCTCTGAAGGTTGGTCTTCTCCTTAGGTCCTTCCGGCTCCTTTCTTTTCTGACTCTGTTCTCATTCTCTGGGTGAGAGTCGAAGGTTTTAAACTATGCCACCACTGTAGTTCAAGACATCTACCCAGCTTTTTGGAAAAGTCACTGAGTCTTGGTCTGGGACAGGAATAATGCAAGATGAGTCTAGAGAATCTGATGATACTGAACGGTAAGAAAGTTCCAAGAATGGAAAAAAAAAACAGGCTTGGGGGCAGAACACACTGAAAGGACACAGGGAACAGCAGCCTAAAGGAGCTCTCAGCAGGTGAAGCTGGAACAATTTCAACAACAAAATAAGATATTGGATTATGAAACAGATTTAAATAAGTCCGCATTGATATAAAATAAATAATTGAATGAATAAATCAATGGTAAAGAAAGAACAACTCCTTGCAGAAAAAAAAATCCAATTACAAAATGTAAAAGGAGGAAATTAGAAAATCATCATTAGGACACTGTAACATTGATAAAAATTACTATAGGAATGGTCATCAACTTATGCTTGCTTAAGCTGGTGGGGCAAAAGTTTATGGAAATAATGGATATTTAGTAGCTTCAAAGTATCTTCCCCTTGGGCAGGGGGAAATATATATAGAGAGAAACAAAGGAACTTTCCAGTAATTAAAAAACATGGTAGATACCACCTTCACCAAAATGATCAAGGTTAGCATCACCTGGAATAAGACCTACTGACATGTGCCCCTGATACAATGCAGTGGAGAGGGCAGCCCACCTCTCTGTATGTCTTTCCCATGAATACATAACCTCAATCTGCTCATAAGAAAGCACCGAACAAATGTAAAGTGAAGACTATTTCATGAAAACACCTGATAGGCACTCATCAAGAATGTTTTAAAGGGCTGGGATATGGCTCAGTGGTAGAGCACTCACAAAGCATGTGTGTGGCCCTGGGTTGAATCTCCAGCACTGCAGAAAATAAAATAACACAACATAAAAAGAATGTTGTGAAAAACAATAATAAATGGGGAGCTCTCCCAGATTGGAGGAGACTAAGGAGACACCCAGCTAAATATAACATGGGATTGTGGGTTTAACCCTGGAACGGCAAAAGGACATCATTGAAAAACTGTTAAAATGTGAATAAAGTCTATGATTTAATTAATGATACAGTATCATTCTTAATATCTTGCTTTTGGTCATTGTACTGTGGTCACGTAACATGCTTGTCTTAGAAGAAGCTGGGTGAACAGTGTATGAGAACTTTGTATCTGTTAGTCTTCTGTAAATGTAAAATTATTTCAAAACAAAAAGTTAAAAAAAAAAACAACAAATAAAACATCTATACAGAGAGAGCTGTCAGTCCTCAGTGTCTCTAGAGGGATATGATTTTCCTGTCTTTTTAAAATCTTCACCCTCTCCCTATTCCCATTTCAAATCTTCATTCCCCAAGTTCTCACATGCTTTTGTCTCCTGATCTTAAAAAAATAAAGAATACAGTAGTTTTTAGATAACTTGTCAGATGGAAATGGATGGTAAAGCTGCCTTTGCCTTCCAAGTATAGAAATACTAGATGAAATATCACTTTTTGAAAAATATGTGAAATACATAGGTAAACTCAAATGAAAGAGAAATTCCCAGGTGCCATAGCAGGAAGCCATCATCCAGATACATGAGACCCGTGGACTGAAGGACAGGGCCTGAAATAGCAATGCTATCGCTAGGGTGGGAGATGCAGCTCCAGGCCTGAGTGAGAAAAAAGCAAGAACTGAGCCTCCACATCCTCCACAACAAAGGGCCTGGGAGACTTCAGTCACCTGTTAGGGAAGTGTGACTTTGGCTAGGAGGCCATGAATAGGAAAATAATCCCTCCTAAAATATCAAACTCAAGCCACTACCCTTTGTGATTATAGGATCAGTTTAATACTATCCATGTAGCAGACAAGCTAAGAAATTAATGGGGGAATTGTTATGAGATGGGTAAAACACTGATGGGCTTAGCAGAGTCAATGTAAAACCATCTTGTGGGGATGATTTCTTTTTTTTTTTTTTTAAATTTTTTATTGTTGGCTGTTCAAAACATTACATAGTTAGTGATTTCTTAATCCTAAGCAGAAGGGTTTGATGGGTAAAGCCCCTCTTGAATATTAGTCGACTATACAAAATTTATAAAGAGCCACAAACCTAGAAAATTAGCACTAGAGATAATAAACCAATCTAAAAGGTGCTATTAAGTATGCTAGATTTGGATTTTTTTTTTTTAAAAGAGAGAATTTCAATATTTATTTTTTACTTCTTGGCGGACACAACATCTTTGTTTGTATGTGGTGCTGAGGATCGAACCTGGGCCACACGCATGACATGCGAGCGCGCTACCGCTTGAGCCACATCCCCAGCCCCTGGATTTTTTTTTTTAAAGTGAGATTTTAGGAGTGTGTTTTGGGAAAAGGTGAGTATGAAAGTAGAAAAAGAAGATTTGGGAAAATGGAAATTTTAGAAATAATATATGATATGTAGAAGTTATTAAAACCTCAGTGGAAGTATTATACAGTAGATTAGATACCACTGAGAATGAGAATAGAGATATTAGAAGACAGATCTGAGGAAGTCATCCAGAATAAAGATCAAAGAAGTATGGAGAAGATAATTTTGAGAGAGTTTAAGAATCACGGAAGCTAGAAGAGTGTTCAGTATTTTTCGAGAAGCATTTCTACAAGGATGGAATAGACAGGAGAAGCAATACTTATGTTTTATCTATTTGACTGGATGGCCATATGTGTATTGCCAATAGCGGATTGATGGATAATAAGGACCTCCTCCTCTATTCTGTGCCATCTCATCACTGGGAACTACTACATTCCAATCATTGCTTAGATTGTGATAATGAGGACCAGAAATATCTTGTCTTCCTTTCATCATTCAAATTCTTTTTCTTTTTAGTATGGGGGATTGAACCCAGGTGCACTTAAACACAACCCCAGGCTGGTTTTTTTTTTTTTTAATTTTGAGGCAGGGTCATGCTAAGTTGCTGAGATTGGTTTGAACTTGCAGTCCTCCTGCCTCAGCCTCCCAAGGATTACAGGCATGCATCACCATGCCTGGCTTCATCATCCAAATTTTTTTTTACCATCTTCTAAACTTTTCTCTGAAGGGAACTTAAAGATACCTCTTTTCCTTACACACTTCTGTGACATTGGCTCTGAACCTCCCTACTAAGTACTAAATCATATCCTATACCAAAAGTCAGGGAACTGAAAGTCATACAAATCCTGGCCTAATGCCTGTTTTAGTATGGCCCATAAGATAGGAAAGATGTTTACATTTTTAAATGGTTGGAAAAAAATGAAAAGAAGAATAATATCGATGGCATATTTACATGACATAAAATTCAAATTTTAGTGTCCCCCCCCCCCCATACACCCTGGTATCCACTAAAGTTTTACTGAAAAACAACCCATGCCCATTCATTTATGCATTGCCTTTAGCTGGTCTATACTACAGAAGAGTGGGGTTGTTGCAACAGAGAATATATACCTCATGATAACTAAAATATTTGCTATTTACTAATAGACCTTTGCAGATGAAATTTGCCAATCTAAATCTTTGTTCTACACTATTTGCTAACTCTATCACGCATATAAATCTTGTCTCTCAAATTCGCTTGAAAAGTACTTGAAGCCAGGTACATTATCATATACTTCTTTTGTCTCCCTGGCACCTCACTCTCCATCTAGGACAGTTATGAATTATTTCTTTAGCAAATTTTGACATGTCAAGTATAAGATTTTAAGAAATGAATCTGACTTCATAGTGCGGAATGAATTAGAAAGAAAGGAGAATAATAATAGCTTATATGCATTAATTTGGGCTTGAAAGCAGATGCTCTCCTATTTTGGGGCTCTGATATTATATGGCTTGGTTAAGTGCAGTGGTGTGGGATAGGGCTGCAGAGGCAGAGACCTGGAATAAGATCCTCCCAGTTAGGTGGCTCAAGCCAGGACAGAGTAGATCCAAGATTTGTCTGGCAGACAAAATATGGCATTCCAAGGGTTTAGCCTCATACAACCCCAAAAAGCAGAGGGCAGCTGAGACCAAGGAGCACTGAGAAATAAAGTGTGGGCATGAGGTCAGGAGTAGCCATAGCCATCTGGATGCCCCTGGGGCAAGCAGGTAAGAGATAATTACCAGAGAGGTATGCTGACTGGACTGCATTCTGCCTGAGATTAGGAAATACACGTTAGTAAAAAGCTGAGACTCCAGGAAGAGATCAGAGATTCAGACAATCAAACTATGGTAGAAGTTTGCAAGGGTCTCCTGAGTACAAGAATTTGAGGATCAAACTCTGAGCTCAGCCAGGTGTAGAGAAATTTAAATGCCAAGTCCTAGCATTAAGTAGGAGCTTAGCTCTTTCTTTCTAAAACTGGATTTGGTTCTAAAGATGGGAATGGGGTCGGCCACATAATAAATACCATGAACCCCAATGTGGCAATATGCCTGAATCAGTGGACATAAACTGTAAGGGAGTTTGCTACAACTTCACCCAAACATGTGGAGGCAAGGCAGGGACCCAGACACACAGAAAAGCAGTAATGGCAGTAGAAGGGGCTTGGGAAACACTTAAAACAAAACAAATTTGTCAGAGAGAAGAGACATGCTAAAAATGACAATATGTGACAAAATGGAGGTCACATAACACGGCAGACACTGTCTGGGCTGTGCCCACATCCCCTGGCATTCACCTCTATGTGCAGAAGGCTTCTCACTGTGAACACCTGCACCCATCTGCAGGAAGCTTTGTTCTGGTGGTAAGCAAGCTCGGTCTCGTGCACAACTGTCAACAGCTCCAGAGACAGCCTTTATCCAGTGATGGCCGTGAAGTGGGTAAGTGCCCCACCTTCTTTGCCTCTCGGGTGAAATAACTCTGAAGTCCATTCTACATCTGTGTTGCCCCAAACGGTAGCCACTTTGCCACATGAAGCTACTAAGCATGTAGAATGTGACAGGTGTGACTGAAGAAGGGAATTTTAAATTTTATTTGATGTTAATTAATTTAATATTTAAAAGTGATACTCATTTCAGTTGCTGGAAAACATGTAAGTATGTTTGGGAAAAAAAAAACTTGGCTGTGTGCATATACTTTTTCAACTGTAAGTGGAATGAAATCCAAATACAAATCAAGATGAAAATTGAGTGTCCAAGTGAAGGTGTACTGTAAGTTTAGAATGCACATACTTTCAAAGACTAAGTAAAAAAAATCAAATATATCATGAATATATTTTTACATTGATTTCACATTGAAATGTAATATATTAGATTTAATGGGTTAAGTGAAATACAGTATTAAAATTAATTGCACTTGTTTTGCAACTCTTTTTTCTTTTTTAATGTGGCTACCAAAAAATTTAAATTTACCAATTTGCCTTGCCTGGTGTTTCTATTGGACAGTTCTCTTCTCCAGTGTATTCCCCACTAAGATGGAGCTCCTGTTGCCCACAGTGGTATCTGGCATGATAACACATGCTTTAGATTCCTTTTCCTATCTCATATTTCTTCTCTACTAAGTTTCCTGGGATCATCTTCCAGGTTTGTAGTAGAATCCCAGTCTGAGGTTTTGTTTCTGGGAAACCCTAATCAAGACAAATAATATTATAAACACGAAAGCATTTTAGGTGTTAACTATTCTAACCTCTTAACTTTATAGATTAAAAAAAAAAACAACCCTGAAATTCAAAGGGGTTCAATGACTTAGTCAAGGCCACTCAGCCATTTTGGAATTCAGAATTTGATTTCAAATTTTGTGTTATATGTGCATTTATTTTCTCACTGTATTACATTGCCTTTAAAGATTATTGGCAACTTTTGAGAAAGCAAATTCAACAGTGGAGCATTTAGGACTCCTGGGGTATAATTATAATAAACAACTTTATGTTTATCCTCCATAATCTCTTTAAACCTGCTCAGGTAGTAGCCTTTCTTGTCCTGGTTAAAAACAAGAAAGTTCATTGACCCTTCTGGTCCTTTCCGCCACCCCCTCTTCTCCTTTTTGTAGTACTGGGGATTGAATCCAGCCTTGTACATGCAAGGCATGTGCCCTACCACTGAACTCCATCCCCAATTCCTGGGGATTTGGTCACTTGTAGCCATGATCTCATCTTATGACAGTATATAGCCAGATCATTTAGAGTATCCAGGTTTAAAATTAAATCTTCTTTCTTTCACACTTTTTCTTTTCCCAATTTATGAAAGACCATTTATGACCCACCAGGGGTTGAAGAGAGAGGCAGAAGGGAAGCAGGAAACTCATGTTACAGGTACCATTTTAAGAAGACGGTGCCTACTCTATGCTTGGCAGACAAGCTGCCACTTTCTCTTGCAGACACTGTGGTAAATTGCTCAGTACTTCCTCTGCTGGGTCTCTCTGACTGAACCTCTCTTGATGTGGCAGTGTCTCCTTGGGCAACCACACCCCCTCCGCATGGTTCTCTGGTAATCCACTCCTCACACACTCTCTCTGAGGTCCTCTTGGGAAGAATTCTGAGTTACTCCAATCTGACTCTTGACTGCTAGGACTCATGCACCTTTTACCTGTTGTCAGGGAGAATTTGCAGTTACCTCCCAGACCAACAATGCTCCTTCCCATTGTGCTGCCCACACTCCTAGATGGCTTTTCCATCTAGGAGTCAATCAAAAGTCTTCAGCATGCCCTGATTGCAAGTGTCCCAGGTCAAGGGGAAGCCTAAAAGGTCCTGTTGAAGACCCCTTTTTCAGTTTTAGAGAAGGACAAAAACAGTCTCCTTCTCTCAGGAGGTTGAACTCAAGAGTAGTTCCCTTTAGAGTTATTCTCTTTTCAAATTTCTCTTTCATCTCCCAAACTTAACACTCATATCCTTGAGGTGGCTGAGGGGTTCCAGGAAATTCATAACCAGGTTCTTGCACATCATCTTTATAAATTTCCACATGATCCAGCACCTCGTGACTCTAATGCATTAAGTCAATTGAACCTAACAACTTAAAATTTTGTTGGAGCTGCAACATTACAAAAAGTTGTGTTGGGAATCAGATGGAATAGACATAGTCACTATGGATCGTTTATAATTGGTGCTTAGTAGTGAAAGAAAAAAAAATAGGTCAGTGGCCAGGTAAGTACTAGGAAAAAGTATAAGTTTAGTTTTAGGGTTTCATATATATATTTCATATATATTATATATATATATTTAATAACACAAGCAGATCATTACATGTCTGCAAAGATCTTGGGTAGAACTACAGACTAATTTTACTGCAGTCTCTCTCTCTCTCTCTTTCTCTGCTTCAGCTGTATGTTTTAATGAAATAAATAAGTATTGAATGTCTTGAGAGTTGTGTGATTTCCTTTGATAACTGCAAAGACACCAGAGGTTTCAATTGTTTTTGATCCTCTTTGATCTCTCCCAGCTCCTCTCTTTTTCAACATTGTAGCATTTTTGAAATTTCTACATGAGAGTGAACAATAAAAGTTAACACTGTCATTATAATTAATGTGAAGAGTATGGCTGTGTTTACACAATAAAACTATTTGCAGATATCATCTTCATCTTTTTCTCAGTGGATTATTATTTTTATCTGCATTTATAGCACAATGGTAAGCAACAGCATCTCAAACAACATTCCTATTTGAAAACCTAATTACTGACCTTTATAGGAGTAACAGAATATTGAGTAACCAAACTCCAATCATACCAAACTCTGAATTTCTCATCTCAAAATAAAAACACAAAATCCCTAAGATGGCAATTGTTGTATGGGTGTCCTTTCCTGTATTGTTTAGAGATCAAAACAGCTAGGCTTTGTTTAGGTGAATAAATCATCAAGGATTCCCACTAACAGTCATGTCCAGTGAGTTCAGCAGGAGCGTGATCAATTTTGACGCTACATCAACATGATATAAGCCATGACTGTTTTCTGCTTTAAGTCAGTATTAGCTGTGTTTTAAAATGAACAAAGAGAAAAGGAAAGGGGAAATATGTGATGTTAATAGCCTTCCTTTTGTGATCTCTTAGGGAGAGGTCTTTTTAAATAAGGAGCTTGAACTTGACCTTCTTCAATGGCACAAAGGTCCAACGCGCAGTTTTAACTTATATTTAAATTTTAATAATTTTACTTGTTAGAGTCAGTTAAAACCGGACTCTCAAAAAAAAAAAAAAAAAAAAAAAAAAAAAAAAAAAAAACCCAAAAAACGAATCCTTAATCTTTTAATGTAACTGAGTAACTGATTGGCAAATAATAGAAACTTAGGGAAAAAGTCTCTAATAGGCATACAAATATTTTCCTGATTTCTACATCCACAAAAGCAAACTAATTGCTTCCCAGACATTAGAACTACTGTATTTGCATTCTTAAATATAATTTAATAAAAATTCCTAACCTCATGATAGATCTGTTTTGGGGGACCTGATACTAAAAAGTACATTTTAAAGATTTAAAAGTCACATGCTCAGTATTGGCAAAATGGTACTGAAAGAGGCACTTGTCATATGCTGTTGGTGAGAGTGTGAATTTTTAAAATCTTTCTGGAAGGCAGTTTGGCCATAGCTGTTGAATGCCTCAGATTTTTCCATAAAACCCTTAAACCAGCATTTTTACTTTAGGGGATTCACACTAAGAAAATACTCATAGATGTTTGCAAAATTACAGCTACAAGATTTTTGTGGAAGTATTTTTGATAGAAACAAGAACTGGATAAAACAAATATTTAAAAAACAGGCTCTGTTCAGCCATTAGAAAGGGTACTAGAGAAATATTTAATACCATGGAAAAGGTGGGAAATGTTGATTAAAAAACAGCATGCACAATGTGATTTCCTTTTGTAAAATATTTAAAATTTGCATCAAAAAAATTGGATGAAAACAAATAGAAGTATAACAGTAGTATCTCTACATGACACCTTTTTCTCAGCATAGTTATATAACGCTTTAATTTTTTTTTTTTAGTTGTAGACACACACAATATCTTTATTTATTTATTTTTATGCGGTGCTGAGGATCGAACCTAGTGCCTCATATGTGCGAGGCAGGCATTCTACACTGAGCTACAACCCCAGCCCCATAGTTATAGCTTTTTAAAAATATTTTTAAATTAAAATGTGTTGCAGGTATAGAAATTTCAAACCATACGAAAGTAAAATAAAATCAAAATTGTAAGCTTGTCTCCCTAAATATCACATCATTTGGTAAAATGCACACACATATACACATATGTATATATACTCACCTATGTCTTTTTTTCCCCCAGTGCTAGTGATTGAAATCATGTCCTTGTACATGATAGGCAAACGTTCTACTACTGAACTGTATCCCAGAATGGCCCCCTGTCCTCTTCTCTTAATTTAGCAGTATATCTTGGAGAGTGTTACATTATGGTGCAGATAGGTCAACCTCATCACATTCTTTAAATTACTGCATAGTATTCTATAATAGAAATACATAATATCTTCCTTACCCACCACTCCTACCCTGACTATTCTGTTCCAACAGCAGGATCTGTAGATGATTATCTACTTCTTCTCAGTTCTTCAGTTTTCTACTTTTCCAGCTTAAAGTAGTTATAATTTCCCTAGACACTCTCTTTTTTTTACCCCTATTTGCAATGCCCTGTAATCAGGAAGACAAGATTTATGGAAGAAAATCATGCTATAGTGCAGATAGCCTCAGATAGACTCCCAACATGACTTGGATATCCTACTAATCTCTCTGGTTGGACCACTCTCCTCATGTCTGCTATAATTATTTCAAACTGCCTCCATTTTCCTTCAAAAAGGATTTCCTCCAATCTTCTCCAATTTTCCCTCTCTGGGCTTGATGGTATCTCCCAATTGAGAGGGTACTGAAATCTCAGTTTCCAAA